CAACACTTCTGGAAGTAGACAGACTGTTCAGAAATTGTGCCTCATTCTTAATATGCTGCCAGCAGTGATTTAAGAACTTCAAAAAACAATGTAAAGGACTATAATTTGTATTGCTACTCTGAAAGATTCTCAGTTGAAGCATGAGTTCAGAATAATGGTCACATTGCCTTGCAGTCACAGGAAACTCTGTACCAGCATGGGTCGGAACAATTTATGCCCTCTGATGCATTCCCTGTTGATTTCTACTGATGAAATGAAAAGGCTTAATTTACTTCCTCTCATGTTTTTCTTGCTCTGCAGGAAGAAGACTCTAATGTTCAAAATAGTTAACAGTCTGAAATTATCTTTGCAGTTTAAAAACAATAATGTAGTGCCTCAAACTGTGAAAAAGTAAGCATTGAGCTGCCCTTTTAGTTTTGTGTGTTATATTTCTATGGCTATATGTGCATCTTCCATACCATTGACACAAGGGGATAAAAAGAGCATTAAAAAGAGCTTCAGCATCAAAGCTGGAGATAATGTAAAGCTGAGTTTCATGTTATGCTAGCTCTCAAGAAAGCTTCTTGAACCCAGATACAGATCAGTGCATCCTGCCAACAGATTTACCTTGCTCCTGCCACTCCTTACCCTGAGACACATTTTTTTCTGGGCCAATTTTGAATGCAAGTGTAGCACTTCTTTCAAGTACTATATTTATTGCAAGCTTCTGTTTATTCCTGGCATCCTTCCTTTGTGTTGAGTTCCTGTCATTGCTTGTCTCTGTGAACTTCAGTTGCCTCACTTCCTTGGTTGCTTTCACACTGTGTGATGTTGTTCTTATGTCCTGTCCTCATCCCCCTATCCCCATCCCATTCGTGTTATGAAGAAGTGTGAAAAGGACAGTTGATAGCTGAGAACAAAAGATGACCTTCTGAGCCATGTATATTGTGCAGAGAGTTATTTAAAGAGTGACAGGTGGTTTAGTTTTTGTACCAAAAACATTATTTTTCCTTTCCTTCCACTTTTATAGTGGCATCTGGGCTTTCCCATCAAGTTGTAGGATATCTTAGCCTTTTCAGAGTGTGTCATGTTTTGGCCATGTACATTTGACTTGACCCCAATAGAGGAGTTTTAGAAAAGGCTTTGGAAAGCAATTGTGTGATGCTCGTGTTAGCTCATCTTGTCCTTCTTTATTCAGACAGACCCTAATGAAATAAATCTCCTAAAATTATGAATATCCAGGAAACAGATAATAAAGAAAACCTATGCCAATTGTAACCAATTTTTTAATGTAGTAGGATGTCTCTTGACATTGTGTGAGAGCACAGAAGTCATTTCCATGGGTAATTTCTTTTGCATTAGATACCCTGAAGTGTCTGCATTCCTGCTAGAGCACCTGTAATGGTATGACTTGGGATTTGTATAAAAGATTGCTGAATTTAACATGATCTTCAGTCATACCTGTGCAACAGATAGCTTTGTTCAACATTAAAATATCTGAAGAAACACTAGACTGCTGTAAGATTGGCTTATTCAGTATTTCAAATCAGTTTTATAAGAAAATGTGAGTATTGAGATTTGTCAGTATGACAAATTGAGATTTTATCAGTATGACAAATTATACATATATATATATATAATATTAATAATAGAGTATCAATCTCTCACTTATGTTTCCAACAGATCATATGTGCATGATTGCAGAGCAGCAGTTCCCATTTCAAACTCTGATTTTACTTGCTTTTGTGAACTGTATGTCAGGGCAGTTCTTGCACAGTTATGTGCTGCTATCAGTGAAACTTCAAGTTCTGCAGGGAGGCAGCTGTTTGGTTAGTACATAACTTCCAATGGAGATCTATCCTGATGTAGATAAATATTAGATGATGGTAATTGGCAAGATTGTCTTTAAAAAGAGATACAGAAGTAGGCTTTTGACATGAGGTTTAACTTGAGCTCCTTATACGTTCTTTTTGCTTATGAAAATTATGATTGATAAAAATGAGGTTTTGAATAAACATCAAATTTTGGAGAACATGCACAGTATTACACTGTTGTAATTGCTGGTTAAAAGGTGCATACAGCAGTTTTATCTGTTGAAAGAAGAATTATTCTGAGAAAGTATGGGAGCCACTCAAAATATCTTACTATGTGCTGTTAGTAATAGCATCTTGAAGAAACATTCAGACAAGGGAAAATTGTGACATTTCACTCATATTTACACAAGATTTTCAGAATTGTTCTTAAAACATGTTTGGAGAAAAGTGGAGTAGGGAGAACACATACCAATTCATATGCTGCTTCAGGTCTATTGAAGTAGTTGCAAGGCAGACATTCAGTGCTTCTTTTAAGCCTCTGGGAAAAATATAAATTAATAGTAACAGTATAGAAGAAAAATAAACATTTGAGAAATATTTTTCCATTTCACAGAAAAAGCTTATATACTTGACAAAATTACAGGACAGTTACCCTGTCATGTATCCCAGTTGTGAATTTATGTATGGCTGTGAATCTCATTTTGAACTCCCTTTTTAGTGTCAGAATGACAAAAAAGGAGAAAAATCTCATCCTAGACCTTCACTAGAACCCCTTATTATCTGCTCTCTACTCTCCTTTTACAAAAAGGAGAGTTTTAAAGGAGAGTAGAGTAGACAATAAGAGGTTCTAGTGACGGTCTAGGATGAGATTTTTTTCACATAGAATATCTTGAAAAGGTTGTGATTAAAAAAATTAGTTTTTTTTTCCTCTTTTCTTATTTTCCATTACTCTCTCCTGCTTTATTTATCTTCTCTTGTTCTCTCCAAAAACCTTTCAAACCTGCTTTTCCTCATCCTTCATTTGATGATACTTGCTTCACCTCTTGCTCTGGCTCTAACCTGTTTGTTCCCTTCCCATCTGATTCAGCTGATGCTAGGGATGATCACACATGCTGCTACCATGTATGGAGAAAAAAAAGTAAGCAGCTACTTCAGGCAGCTTGTACAGTTAAACTTAACCTCCTTTTATCTCCCTAAATGTTAGTTTAAGTGGGAGTGTATGCCAACTGTTTTATTTTGGGGTCTTGGTAACACCTTTCAACACTGATCCATTTTGCTTCTATGAATCTTCTAATGAGAGATGTCATGGCATCAGCCTTTCAAGAAAAAAGCTGAGCTTGCCGCATCTTAAAAGAGCTACTGGAGAGTTTTTGTGCAAACTATCATGGCCAGCATGATGTAGTCTCCTGATTAAATCTCTGTTGAGTATCTCAGAGCAAAGAAAATAGAGGGGTGGTGCATGTAATCTGAATGGCTATTTTACCCTTCTCTGAAGGTATCCGGAATCTTTTGGTTGAGAATAGGTGAAAAACATCCTGTGTTACTTTGTTATGAGCAGATCAAAAAATGAACAAAGCACATTTTGTTGTGGACAGGAGGATTTGTGAGCACTGACCTGTAAGCCTTTATTCAGTATTTCGTTTTTCACAGCTTTCCTCACTGACGCCTGGGGCAGTCTGGTTCTTTCTAGTTGTAAACCCTCTCTTGTATTGCTGTGGTCTTGTGAGGGTTATTGCAGCCATAACCATAAAAGATCTAGAGCACAGTGATACAAATTGATGGAATAAGAATTGGGGGTGCAGTCTGTGATCTGCCAGGGGAGTACCTGGGGTATCTATGTGCACCCTACACTGTTTAGACAGAATGGGTGGGTTTGGGTTCATTGTAAAGCCTGTACTTCTAATGTGATCTTCAGTCTTCTGCGGTCAATAAGGCTCATTTTCAAATGAAGATTCAAGAAAAACCTTTGCAGGGAATCAAGTCTATTTATTAGTCCATCTGCTAATAGCCTGGAAAGGAAAGTTTTCTATTTGTGAAAGAGATACAGCCATCAGAGTGTATTATGAAGTTTCATCTTTGTGTGTTTGGATGCATGACAATTTTCCGATGTGTGGTTCCTGCTCTTTGTAGTACATTCTGGCTCATTAGTAACTAAGACAGAGATTAATGATTTTCTGGAAGAAAAATATGTTCCTTAGAAGGATCTAAATTCTTCTCTCATGCATGTACACAATAATATTCTGTTAACTCAGTTGACAGGTTGGCATATCCCAGTGACCATGCTCCAGATTAATGATTGGTACTGATACTCTGCTACTTATATTTTGATTTGTTTTACTGGGGTGCCATGTATTGTACAAACAGGGAGGCACCCATTTGTGTGAAATCATTAATTTAATTTCTGATATTAAATTAACACTATAAAGATTTGTCAGCAATTTTATTTTTCAGTGGGACATCAAAAATAATTGAAGCCATGTCCCCCTTAGCTGTTACAAAATCCTGGGTGTGGCTGGAGCTGTGCAAACACAGTGGGTTTCTGTTAATTTAATCCATCTGGATATACTGCAAATCACTAATCAGAAGGCTTCTTCTGTTGGTATAGTCTGTTTCCATTTGGTTGCACTTCCAATATACGTGTTTTAGTCTAACTTTTGCATAAGAAGCTTATAGGTTTTGATTGTAATGTTTTCAAAATGTGTGACTTCACTGTGCAAAAGCTGGAGACTTAAACACAGCAATATGCTTTTAAGGAGAAGAGTATACACTTATGGTTGTGTTTGCTTAAAAATGAAATTATTTTTTTTCTCTACATGTTAGAATGTGCAGTACACCTATGTTTTGAGTGTGTGTGTTATCTTCTTGAACTTTTTCACCCAAGCTTATTAAGAAGCTTGAAGTAAAAATTGCCCTGTCCCTAATCCTTAATATTGGAAACTAGAGGAAGGAGTGGTATATAGAGACCCATTGCAAGTCTTGACTCAGCCATTTAAAGGATAGATTAAAAGGAATTTAAAAACATAATGTTCTCTAAATGCTCATTATTTCTTTTAGACATACTCTTTAAGAAAATAAACTAATTTTGAATAAGCATTTTGAATATTCTGTTGAAATGTAGTTATCCTCTACTTGGCTTGTAATTGCACTAATCCTTTTATATAGAGTGTGGAGGTATCTAACTCATCTCTTTTTTTTCCCCCTTCCTAGTTAATGGTCTAATGACGCTTGGATTCGCAGGTGAGTCTGACCTCAAAAATTCAAGCTTCTGTTTCTGTTTTGCTAATGGTTAACATTTGAGAAACACTTCCATCCTGTCTCATCTCAATTAGTCAATTGTCATGCATTTTTTACAACTGGTCTTATCCATTGGCTGTATGCAAGAGGGTGTTGTAGTGTTTTGTAAAGGTCGTTCTCAATATATTGACACAAGATTTTCAGAATTGCTCTTAAAACATGTTTGTTTTAAGTTGCAGCCTTAGAGTGATGGTGAAATTGCAGAATTATCCATGATTTTGAACTCTTTTGGTCAGGGATTTAGACAGAAACTCTTGAGTCATCAGATTGGGCTCAAATGACTCTGATGGAGTTTTTTTTTTTCCCTATGATCCTGCAAAATATTGAAATTTTAAATACAGACAAGCAAAAATACCAATGGCATGCATTTAAACATCCTTCTGGGAAGGGGCTGGAGTAAATTGTCAGCACACGTGACATAGTGGAAGAAGAAATTGTACTGTGTTGGTTATAAATCATGATAGCTGGCTGTTTAGAATACCCTGCCAGAAAAAGCATCTTTGCATAACTTTTGTCAGTGCAGGATTTAAGTTGCGAGCTATGCAATTTTCATATGTGGTTTTGAATTCTGCACAGCTTTAGCATTCATCTGCAGGTCTGTCTGTGGAAAGTGTAACTGGTAACTGCTGCAGCTGCTGGTGATTCGACAGGAACACTTAAGTAGGCAGGATCCATGTTATCATGTTAACTTCTTATGGATAAAATTATGCTGCTCTTGTGTGGTAATTTTCACCGTTTCTATCACTGGTGAGTAATTGTAGTTCTCACTTTTTGCCAGAATGAATGAATGCTTCATGACAGCTTTAAGAGCACTGACAGTCAGATACGATGAAGGAGCAAGGATTAGGTCCTAGTGAGTGAGCCGTACACCTGAAGAGGAAGTTGTAGACTTATGGTTTCAGGTGCAGCACAGGCTGTCCTGTTATGGGCCTGCTGCTCTTGGCAAGTATGTGAAAGCAAGGTGTTTATTTGGCCAGATGAGATGGTTGTCATTTGTCATACACCATCACAGAGAGAGTGACCACCACGTAAGGAGTCAACTGTGATACCTGGAGTGAAATTGCAAGGTGCTCCTGGCCAGGCTCCAAAGGAGCCAGCTCCTTCCTGGGTGAAATGATGTTCATTCAAGCCTGTGTTACAATCACATGCTTGATTTCTAATGGAGATACTCAAGCTTTTGAGTATCTGATGGCTGGATTATGATGTGAAGCCTGAGACCAGTCATCTTGCCTTAGAGTTTGGGGTTTTCTTTACTACATGGTAAGGAATGGAGCCATGAGGACTTCTCTTCTTACCAAGCAAAGTCGTGCCTGATTTTGACCTCAGCTGGCCTCAGGCAATGTGTTTGGCTGCTACCACACAAAATTAGAACTATCAGCTCTTTTCAGCAGTGATAGGATCCTGATTCCAAAGTAACTAATAGAAGCAAAAGAAATACCTCCTTCTCCCTGGTGTAAATATGTTTTCAGTGAAATTTTTTTTAGGAGCAAATGGTCTGTTCTCCTTGGCTGTATTCTTAAAAAAAGCTGTGCCTCCAGAATTCTCAGGCGGATTCTCTGATATACGAGTTTGTTAGGGTTGCAGTTTTGCTCAGGTAAATACATTTCTTGGATTTGAGCTGCTGTGAAGGGAAAAATTTCCACAGTTTTTTTCCTGACTAATTTAATGTAGGCATTTGTATTAAGATGTTAATATACATATATTTACAGGTAATTTTCAATATTATTGCATTTTTTATACAGAATAATGTTCAAAATAGTGGCATCTATAGAGGTAAAGCAAGATGTTTAATGTCTTGATCAAAATAAAATGTTTCAGTCTTATCAAAATCAAACACATTAGTCTGAAGAGAATTTTTTCAGAATTTCAATTTTATTACAAATATTAAAATACTGTAGTTGTACTCCAACACAGGCATGTGCTGGATGAGAAAAACATTTGACTGGCTAAATATACTGGAGTTACCATTATAGGTTGAAAAAGTTACAGGCCTGCTCAAGTCAAGGTTAACTCTTTCTTTGCAAGTAGTTATATGCTGTCATGTCAGCATTTGATAATTGCAGATAATTCTTAGAATTATAGAATTGTTTAAAAATGTTGGAAAAGACCTCTGTGATCATTGAGTCCAACTGTTACTCCAACACTGCCAACTCTACTACTAAAATTTGTCCCTAAGTTCCGCATCTACACATCTTTTAAATACCTCCATGGGTGGTGGCTCAACCATCTCCCTGGGTAGCCTGTTTCACCTTGGTGAAGAAATTTTTCCTAATATGCAATCTAAACCTCTTGCCACTTTGAGCTGTTCGGATGCTTGTTACTTGGTAGAAGAGACCAAGCCCCGCCTGGCTACAGCCTCCTTCCAGGAAGTTGTAGAGAGCAATAAGGTCTCCCCTGAGCCTCCTTTTCTTCACACTTAACAATCCCAAGGTCCCTCAGCTGCTCCTCACAGGACTTGATCTCTAGACAATTCCTTTGGTGGCTGTACTAAAGAAAAAGCTTTGATTGTGGAAATTCAGACCCTTTAGCTGGTAAGACATACAAATATTTCCAATGTTAAAGTAATTTCACATTAATATAGTTAGTTGAATGTGATGCATGTGTGTGAGCTTGAAAAGTGCTTTCTACACTGAAATGTGGGATTGTGAGATCCAGTTAACTTTTAACTAAAAATGCAAGTGCATAATAATGAGTTAGTATGAGTAGTAGCTATGTAAGATTAGAAAAGTGATTAGATAGGCTCCTCTAGATTTAAAAGGCAGTACTATATATGGTAACCTTTAGTTTTTTATACCAAGTTATGTTTTTAACATATTTATGTAAATATGTGTTTTGTCTATTTTCTAAAATTGCTTGGAAAATTAAATATTAAGCTTATGAGAATGTAAGTGGCATGTTGGACTGTGTGAACAAATTTGAGTGATGTGTTTGTGCTTCTATTTCAGTGTTTGTGATTAAAGGTGCATCTGATGTTTCCTAGGTGCACGTCAACAGACTGAGCTCTGCAATGAATCTCTCATGTTAGAAAAGTTGCCTGCCTGTGGAAAATCCTTTGAAGAGATGATGAAGAAAGTGGACTCAAAAAAGTGGTGCAACCTTACAGAATTTATCATGTAAGAGTTAGTTTAGGTTTTAATAGCTCTCCCCTAGTGCATATAAAATATTTGTGTTCCAGAATATACAAAACCTTCTGTATTCTGTTGCCACTTGTAGAGGGCTAAGCTGTAGCTCTTAAGCCCTGCAGTGAGGCCATGTGCACACAGACACCTGGCTTTTAACTCAAACAGTGTGCAAAATAGTCCACTGTAATGAAAACTAACCAATGGGCTATTTAATATTAGCTGCTATTGCGTTACCTCAGTTGTGTTTACATTTAATCTGTATTTCTGTGCCTTTTAGGCAAATGTTCTGTAACTAATCTCTTTTCTGTGAAACCACTAAAGCAATATATGCTTTTAGAATCATGCTGTTCTCTTGACAGCAATGCAGTTCCCTCCTCTGATTTCCTTTTTTTTTTTTTCAGTAAGATGACACTCTTTCAGTAATTCACCTCATGTGAAATTGCCCTATCCAAATTTAAAGTGATTTGTCCTATTGAACCTGCTGTCATATACTTTTTTGCCTGCCAGCTAGCATGGAGAGAGCTAGCACCACCCATTCTATTTGGATGTCTAAAATACTGCAAGACTGACAGTAGTGAGGGTGGAATTATTATTCTCTAATCTCTTTTCCTGTTCCATAGTTATGGGAGGTATTTAAGCGTCTCTTTATAAAGCTGCACACTTCAAATTCTAATCTGGAAAAAACTCACAGGCTTTGTGAAATTGGTGGCATTTTTGGCTTTGTGGAGCATCTGCTTCTTAAGACCATGTCTGCTCATGCATAATGTCTGGTTATCAGAAGTGTTGAGTACCCTCTACACCAACTGAAATTAGAAGAAGCTGCAGGTGTTCAGCACTTCAGAAAACAAGACTCAAGTGAACTAGAGTTGGTATGGTATGAGCCAGCCTGAAACAGAGCTCTTCCTGCATTTGAAACTGTGCTGGTGCTGTTTCTGGAGTCTGCTATGGAGGCAGAGTAGCCTCAAGCCAGCTGTCACCACAGCTGTTACAGTGTCATTGAGCCCCAGATATGTTCTGGTGGGATCATTGGTCTTGTGTCCTGTTTAGTGTCGTGTCATGTGATGCAGACTTTAACTAGCTGATCACCAACAGACTGATAATGAAATGTTGGACTGCAGTGCTGTGTTGCATCAGTTCCCCATGACTTCCTTAGCACCAACACCTGTGTTGAAATGCCCCACCTGTTAATAATGTTTCATAATCTGACATAATATTATCAATTTAGATGCTATTCCTTCTTAGACCATTTATTCACACACCTTGATGATTTTAAAATCTTGCAATCTGTTAAGGGTAGATTCTTAAATATTACGGCACTGGAGTAAAAGATGCACCCATGCAGCTCTCTCCAGCTGTGGGGAAGAGTAAGAGAAGGTTAGCTCTTCTAAACCAGCTTGCAGAAATTTCTGTCAAATCTGACAGAGAAGTGTGTGTTTACAAAAGAAAAGAAAATCCTTGCAGTGCTGCTACTACTAAATTTATTTAATAAATATCTGTACATTATGCAGATATTGTAATGTAATTTATAACTCATCTAAGTACAAGAGGTTTTATTTATTTTGAAGGAAACACTATAATTTTGCTCCATTTTATCTTCATTATAATTGTTTCAGAATAACAAGTTTTCTTTTCTGATATCTTATTTGAATCAATAAGTGACCTCAACTAATGGGATTACTTGCAGCCGTGAAAAGTGCCTATAGGAGCCAAAATATTAGACTGTACCTTTATTAATGCAGGTGAAAAAACATGCAGCTTTTTGGGAGACTTCTGCTAAAATTGATTCAAGATTTCACATATTGTGTGCAAGAATTTTTCAAGGGTTGGAGGTGACTGAAGTTTCTGAGTTTTCCTGACTTTTAATTAGAGTTAAGAATCCACCTTGATTTTATCCTTTCCAATTGTGCTCACTATTTGGAGTAATTTTCTTTCCCTGTACAAGAAAATTTTTCTGAAGAAGTTGAGGTTTTGCTCATTTTTCCTCAAAAGCAGTACCAGAAGAATTCAAGGTTCTCACAAAAGAAAAATATTTTACATTTTTAACAGCATTAAATATTAAATATTTATATAATATATATTTTCTAAAAATCTTTTTTAAAATGCTTCAAGTTCTACTTTAGAAGAGAGTAGCAGGAGGAATTTGTTTTGAAATTTATCTCTTGAATCAAGCATTAATCAAGCATTTGCAGTCTGATTACAAACTTATCATAAGGGTTCATTGCACTGAAGAAGCAGCAAATGTGCATCTACCTTTAAGATTTTTACTCTTTTGAGAATAGACATTGTTATTTGATGTCATGCATTCTATAAGAAGCATATAGAATCACAGAATGGCCTGGGTTGGAAGTGACTGTAAAGCTCCTCTAACAGTAAAGATCCTCTAGTTCCAACCCCTCTGCTGCAAGCAGGGACACATAGAGGTTAATTTATTCCAGCTCATTGGAGGAATTTCTGTCCCTGAGACACGGGACAGAAACACTTCTTTCTTTGGAGTAATCTGACAAATTAATGAAAAACTGGTGTATCTATCCATGGGCACTTAAAATTCAGATATTTACACCTGGTAATATTAGTTTGTGCTGATTTTATATCTAGCCTCCAGAAGTAACAATTAATCAGTCTGGATCAGATAGTGGGTTAAAACTGAGTTTTGTGTAGAAGAAACTGGTTCTTCATGCAGTAATTTCTACATGGCACTTTTCACTTTGAAACAAATCTTTGTAACTTATATTGAAATGTAACAGTTAATGGAAATCTGCTAATTTTCTAAATTCCTTGTTTTGTGGAGGAGGTTTAGATCTTCAGTGTAAATGGCTGTCCTTTGGTTATGGGATTGTAAATAGCAATTATCTGTAGTGCTTCACCTAGGTCAAACAATTGTGAGAGAATTTGCAGTGACTCCCATTTGCTGTAACCTAATTAACCTGTAAGATTTTCTGACATCTCTGACATTCTTAACAAACTTGTGTTCTTTAAAAAGCAGCCATTTCACTGATTTGGAACAGAAGAGGCTTCTGTGCGTGGCAGCTGGTACTGCAAACCAAAATGAGAGTTTTAGCCTCCACAGCTGATATTGATGTTGCTGGAAATGTAAGATGATCACATATAGACATTAAATTCTCAGGTAAAGTTTCATGGAAACACTGTTAGATGAAAGTTTCCCGATTAAGTTTTGCAGATTTCTGTGAGGTTTCTCATTTACTTACGATACAAGTACTCTGGGTCAAATTGTCCAAAGATATTTGAAAGCTTCAATATGATGAGGGATCAAAGTGGGATTTTAACATATTTTAAGTCATTTAGACTTGGTGGGTTTCAGTGGTTCTAACTTGGACATCAGAATAATAAGGCTAACCACAAATAGCAGAATATGAAAGCTAACCGCAGTTAACTTACAAAAAAAAGTAAAACCTTCAATACACAGTCAGAGGTGTTCATTGACAGAAGAGGAGTTTGCCTAGTTGCAGTTTTGCTGAGGCCTTTAGATTACTAAGAGAGAGCTCTGACGATGAAAATACAACGAGGTTGTTTAAAAGACTCAAAGTTATGGTACATGGCAAGTGAATAAGCAGAGACTGAAGTGTGGGTGAAAGCTATATAGGGAATTAACAAAAGCAAATATACTTTTCATTTGCCAGAAGACTGGAAATTGCAGGAAGGTTTTTATTTTTTGTGTGTAATATTTCTGTTATGTCTGCTTATAGTAACATCTATGTTAATAGCACTGCTATTATATTACATGTAATAACTATGTATTATATTTCTTTATTATCTTCTTAATATTTAGCAATTACAGCTGAATATGTAAAATCAACTACTGTTCGCAAGCCAGAAAATTCGTTATTAACAGTCAGACTTTTTTTTGTGTGCTGTGATAAATCCTGGTGTGGGACTACAGTTGTGCGGCCAGGTATGACTAATTCCTGAAGCAAGTGGCTGGATGAAGACAGAAGTGCCCAGAGGTGTCTTACATGAACCTGAAAAAATGTTCCTTATTGTAATTGCTTAGATTACTTTCTATTCTTAACTCATGAATCAGTTTTTCAAATACTTCTAACTGGATCCTGGAAACAATTTAGCTAGAACAAACAGTCTCTAAACAAATCTGTGTGTGTCTCCTAGGCCTAACCCCTATGGAAATGTGGGACCAAAATGTACTAAAGAAGATGTTCAGTGGCTTGTTAAGCTTTTGGCCTGTTCCCAAGTACCAATTTTCTTTCTTCTGCATCACCATTTTCCAAATATTTCTGAGTGTAGTTACTAGCATTTCAGTAATTTTGAGGCCAGAGGAATGGCTGTGGCCATGTCACTGTTGCATAATACAGTCCATGCAACCTGCCCAATAGTCACTATTCTAAACCCTGTAACAGTGAGTATACTATGGAAAGGCATCAACTCTTCATCTAAAAGATTACTATTTATCCGTTACATCTACAAACAGATTGTGTCATCTGTTACAGGTGAGGCATTCTCTTATTTCAAGCCAATACTATTGTTGCAGCACTTATCTCACAAGTTGCTAGGGCTGCATATCTGCTACTTTGGGAGCTCCCAGTCCGTCATTCTGTGTTTACCAGCCAAAGAATTTGGTTTAGAGTCCAAGGGTGAAATAGCAATTTGTGTTTTAGAAGAGAGTTCTAGCAAAGTAACGCATGTAACACAGGTCAGATCTGGATGTTCTGTTTGAGAAAAAGAAAGGATTGTAACAAACGTCTTCCTCCAATCTCTACATTTCTTTTCACAGCTCTAAGAGTCCCTGATTTGCTGTGAGACAGTGGCTCTGTGACATTGTTTTACAGTACCTGGAAAATGTTAAAAGTCTCATTTTTCTGATGTTTTAAATTTCAGTTCATAACAGAATAGAAGAGGGCAATTTTTTTTCTTTAACTGTACATCTGAAACAGATTCATCACAGGTATGTGTGTACCTGATGAAATTCTCTGCTTTACTGTGTGCATGGTCCAAGGTGTGTGCCCACTGTGAATAACGTT